CAAGGTAAACCTGCTAAAGCCTTCTGTATCCACAATTCGGCTAACCTAGGCTTCGATTGATACGCACAGGCTGAGGCTTGCCACTTGCGTCCCAGTTTCCTGATCGCCACTACACAACCTACTTCTGCCCTTATAGAGTTTACCCAAACCCCAGTATATACTTACAGACTATTACTAGTATCACCAGCTATCTCAAACTACTAATTCAGATAGCCCAGAAGAGCTGTGACCTGCTTCTGGTCCTCATGGTTGGGTCCTTTTCCTCTGGCTACTCTCTAGCAGCCTGGTTGATGTAGTGCCTTGCCAAGCACTTCAGTCCTGTTCAGTTTTACCAGTTCTTCAAGTATCAATCTGTATGTAATACTATCAAAGATCTATGCTACCTCTCTATTCGAGAATTTTCAAGTGAATGCCTCAGCGCCGTATCAGCCCTGTGGCTTTCTGTGATTCTGAAGGACTTATCTTGGGTTTGTACTAACTAAACCGGCTTGCATACCTTTGTATAACTCCTTATATTATACAAATACCCCAGAATCTTCCAGTTTCTGGCAAACCATAATTGGTATGACCACAGTTACAGGGTCTCAAATTTTCCTAGCCACAATGATAGTTACCAAATTCTGTTTTTCTTAAAATCCAATTTTCGCTCTCCATGGAAATTAAACTAATACTCAACCATTTGGGGGTGCAACAACTTGACCACTTCACTAAGTCACCACACCCTTTTTTGATTTGATTTGATTTGATTTGATCAAATCAAATTCAAATACAAAAATTTTAAATTAAATTAAATTCAAATATACTTAATATTTAATTTGATTTAATTTTGAGAAACCCTATAAGTTATTTTTAACTAAAGTGTATTAAATGTTAATACAATTATTTGTATAATTAATTTTATTTATTAATTGCTAGATTACTATAAATCAAACTAATTTTCAAAATAACTATATATAATTTTTTTTTTTTTTTTTTGACGGTCCTGCCTATTACTTTTTATTTAGAAGTACCAAAACTTACATCAACAGGAAGATATAATTTTCTATACTATATTCTAATACAAGTAAAGATCAACTTGAGTTAAACTCAAAGAATGACCCACCTAGCAGCAATTGGCTTCACATTGGATCTCCAACTTTCTGGAGATGTGAACCCTTCAATTCTTAGCCCTAGCAGCTACATCGCTTCATCAAAAGAGCTAAATTAAAGAAGCACAAACACAAAAAAAAACTAAAACAGAGGTAAAGGGGATATGATAAAAGATACAAATAAGAAGAAGAAAAAAAAGAGGTAGGAAGTATCGAAAAAAACAAAAAAAGAAAATTTGTCTATCCTAACGATCACTATTATAAGCCCATGAAAGACTTGTAAAAATTACATACTACTAAATAAAATAGTCTCTACTCTACATTTATCTAAATAGTATATAAAAGCTCAAAACCAGTGGAAAAATACTTTTTCAACCATATAACGTAGGGGTCAGTACTCAATCCTAGTCTTGAAGTATTGTTTATCAGCTTGTTGTATTCAAGATACATGTTTTGACATGTTTGTTGTTCTGTTGTACTGATTTAAAAAGTAAACAATACTGACTGCTTTGGTACATGTGATATCAATCTTTTGGAGGGATAAACTGAAATGCCCACTTTTTACAAAAAAATCTTCGAAAAAAAGTGGTGGGCCAATGAGAGTATGTGAGGTTCTTCTTGTAAGAGTTATAGTTGTATAGTCCAGTTCCTTAGTTTCTACTTAGTCTTCCTGTCCAGGGACCCACAGGGATGTTGCTCTCAAAATATCCTTTTGGTTTGGATATTGAAAGTGTGAAGGAGTCCATTAAAAACTTGACCTAAAAGCACAGCCCACTTTTTGTTTATACGCCCGCTTCTCAGTATTTCACGTATATAAAGTTTTGTCAACAGCAAGTATGTTTGTATGGTACTAGAAATATCTAGATGTCTACTTTGTTGCTTTTTTATATCGTTTTTCTGTAGTTTAGTTTGTTTTGTTGTTAACCAAAGGATCGTCGAAAAGAGTTGTTTTTTAAATAATCATATATAATATATTATTATAATTAAATTAGTCTTTATTTAAATACTATTTTGATAAATTTTAAAAATAAATTCTAATTTTAATTATTTTTATATATTTTGCTATATATAGTAATATAATATTTTAAAAATTTTTTAAAACTCTATTAAAAAAAATACTATAAACTTCTGAAATTAAATACCCTTTTTTGTATCTAATGCTGGCCGAAATCATTATAATGCTAGTTTAGTACAGATCAGGAATGCTTATTTTTGGAGATGCTTATTTTCAGAATTATATAGTATATAGTCTTTTCTTGTTATTATCAATCTATTTCAATTAAATAATTATATTGATATTTATAGAGATTGATAATAACAAAATAATTATTTATATAGTTTAAATAAAATTTTTCAAAATCAAATCAAATCAAATATCAAGTATATTTGAATTTAATCAATTAAATTAATTTTGATTTAAATTTAATTTAATCAAATCAAATCAAATCAAATAATATTTAAAAATTTTTAAAATTTTGTTACTTTTTAAAATTTTTAATTTATATAAAATTTTACTAAGCTAATCAATTTGTATATTAAATAAAAATATTCTTTTAATTAAATACTCTTAGTCAAATAGAAAAAAAAAAGCAGTTATCTTAATAAAATTTTATACAAATAATTATTAGACCATGTAAGGTTAATTAGTTTTTGTAACCTGACCAGGTCAAATTTTGAAAATTTTTTACAAAAAATTTTTTATATGTTTTAATAACTGAATAAGTTTTTTAAAAAATTTTTTTTAAGAAAATTTTATAAATTTTTATATATAAAATTAAAAAAAACTGACTGACTATCTATTTAAGAAGTTTCATATTACAAGAATTAATAAATTAAATTTGTATAACCTTATATTTATAATTTCAATAAAAATTAAATTAAATATTCAAATATTTGTCTTAATTTGAATTTGATTTAATTTGAAATTTCTGGATTTGAATTTGATTTGATATCAAGTATTTGATCAAGGATTAATATATTTGTAACCATAGGCTATGTAACCGAAATAATACTTTTTTTGTTAGTTAGGGTTAGGGTAAGGTAAAAATAGCATATAGGTGAAAAATGTGGTTTATAATAAAATTTAACAAGGAATTGTTTTTGTTAGAACCCAAAGAGTAGTTTCATATACTCAATTTTAAGTTATACAAATGAATGTTTTCTGATTGTATTATATTACACCTGATCTTTAAATTTGATTGGCTTTTATAGGATGCAATTACAATAGCCATGGCTACAAATATATTACTCCTTTGATCAAATCAAATCAAATCAAATCAAATTGCGAAACCCTAAGTCTAAAACTTAATTTTTTACTAAGTATATTTTATTTAAGCTTCTAACAAAGTTGCAGAGAACTTTTATATGAATTTAATGCTGATAAAATCATCAAATTTAGTATGATTTTACTAGCGTTAGAATCATATAAGAGTTTTTTACAATTTTATTAAAAACTCAAGTGCAGTTTACTTAGTAAAAAATTGAGTTTATAGCAATAGACCATTAGTTATTTTATATATTTCATGTGACTCGCGATTCTTAATTTTTATTGGCTAAGGATATCAACGGGGTAAATTATTTATAAAAATTTTTGTATCCATGTTGATAGTGCTATTAATGAGGGATCATATTAAAGTCGATATATATGGGAATTTTAATATATGAAAATTTGTCTTATATATTAACGAGAGGTTGATATTAACGAGGTTGATATTAATGAGGGCTGACTGTATAAATTATTTTTTCTATCTATATTAAAAATAATACCAATAAGTCATCAAAAATAATATTTTTGCCAAACAATCTTGATAATTTTTTTACTTGAATTCTATAGATCTATAAGAATTCAAGACAAAAAATTTTTATTAAGATTAGTTGGGTGGTTTTTAAAAAAGCTTTACTTAAAGTTTAAAAAAATTATATTTTTAATTTTTAAATTATACAAATTGGATGAGTAAGAAAATTTTGGGGGGTAAGTTGTGCAACTTTAACTACGTACGTACGTACATACGTCTATTAATTAACCTTCTACAAGCCAAAACTCTTTCTTATACCGTTTTAGAAATATTGAGGCTTTAAACCATCATACACAGCTTTTTGCCCTTTTTGATGGTTAATCACCCTCATAAAGAGTTTATATCCCTCGCTGAGGGTTTGTTAACCCTCGTTGAGGGTTAATTACACCTAACTGTACCTTATCGACCTCATCCACATATTTTACACAAATTAGGACGATAACAATAAAAAGTATGCATTAAACCAAAAAGGCAAAAAACTAATTTCTACGTAAGCATAACAGTGGATCTGAGTGTGATTCATGCATATAGGGTCTGCATTTGAATAGAGTTTAATTAAAAGTTAACGAATAACTTAATGTCACGATATGTAAGATAACAATAGTTTACCCGATTTGTAATGTAGAAAGAAGGTTAATAATATGGAATTTATTCAGAAAGAGCAAATATATAGAAGAGCACTTAATTATTTAATTAAATTCTGAATATACAAAAACATGTTTTAAAACATAATAAATTAGGCAACCAATAAAGTCGCATAATTAAAGAACAAAACTTTTTGAACTCTTTACGGTTATGCTTTACTACACTATATTGCTTACAATGATATGAATGAATAATCATCAAAGAAATCATACATTTTTAGATTAGACAAAAGATTGACAAAAAGAATTTTTACTTGCGTGTCTGTGTTTACTAAACCAGACATTTCTGTTGATGAGAAACTTACGCCAAGCGAATTGGCCTAAAGGTGACTAATACAAATGTCGTTATAATATTAAATTATATTGTACATGATCTGTATATATATATATTATATTCCTCTTTAGAGCTTAACGTGTGTATGTACACAGTCTATCACTATTCTATATTAATATCCATTTGATCTAAAATTATTTCAAAGATATCGTACAGTTATAAAACCAATTAGATTAAGAACTATGAGAGTTTCAAAATCAAAATTTATCATTTTTGGAGATGAATTTGGATTAGGTGATACAGATTCAACTATTCCTTTAATATTTGGGTTAAAATTATTTGAAGTTATAGTGACATTTGGTTTGTAAGGATTTGGGTTATTTGAAGTTGCATATCTAGAATGAAGTTATTAAAGTCAATGATGGTCTAAAGAAAAAAAAATCTATTTTAATTTATACGTACCCCATAGTTTCAAGAATTAGTATTAGTTCAGGACCGATAGCATCTGTGCATCCCCGAGATGTTGTAATAGTGCGCATGGTCGCCCCATGGTCTGCCAAATACTTCATTAAAAAATCACATGTATTATTATACGTATTAAAATCCACATGACTAACACTTGAACCTTGACAATAAGGGTTCAAATTTGTTTCAAGAATAATCGCCTGCGCTGATTCGGTGCTATCATGCGGTAAGAACCCCAACGAATACGGTGTGGTCATTGTTTTCATCATGTCAAGTGCCAATTCATATTGTGGTGATGCCTTGAATTTTGCCTTAAATTCTTTCATATTGGAAAACTTTGCATCAGTTCCTCCTGGAAATTTATTAAGTTTATCCGTGACCTCCGAGGTTTTACGTCCACTTGACAAATATATTATGTATTTATCAAATGCGCTTTCCATAAATCCATTAAATTTAAGCTTTGAATCATCATCTGTTACTAGAGATAAATCTGGTGTTATTGCTGTCGGGTTGTCGTCGTTTATGTAATCTCCCCAATTAGATGCAAGACCTAACCCATGAATCATTTCATGCAAAACTACATATAAAAAGTCTTGTTGATCTGGTTTGATTTTTCCGTCTCCATCAAACCAAAAGTTTGTTCCAGCTGAATTAAACATGGCTAAAATATCATAAGGCCCATATTCTGGGTGTATGTTAAATTGAAATTGTTTAACAAGTGCTTGTGGATATAGTCGTACTAATCCGTCATCATCTTGCAGTGGTATTGTACGTGCTGGTGATGCTCCACCTGTAATTGGTTCACAAAGATGAATGAATGTACATGCGTGTGTGTTTATAATTTATATTGCGAACTCACCTAAAGTTACAAGTCCTGTTTTACCACCGCATTCACCCATAACAACACAAAAATCGACGAAACTAGCATTTAAAGTTATGGGTGAATTTAATATAAGGGTGGATGATATTATATTTCCTGCTGTTTCAAACGTCTTTTTTACTTTATTACATAACACTGCATTTTTTACTCCACATGTAAAAGTAACATCAAACATGTTCTTCTTTGAGCCTTTCGCTGCCAAATTCAATGTTGGTTTTTTTTGTTTTGACACCGGACACGGTACGGGTTTTTTGTAGTTTCGATTTAAAGGGTTTGGATAATCATAGCATTGTGCGGGTGGTCCACAATCAGAATTTGTGGATGATACGCAAAGGAATGAAGAGAATATAATTATTAATGATATGGTCAGCAAAGACTTTTTCATCTTTAACTAGTGTTATTATTATCGGTATTTGTGGAAATTATTGAATGACAGTAATGTAGGCTTGCACTCGAAACTTCAAGCGCGCTACCAGCTTACAAAACAAGGGGCTTATACTTTTCCCTACAATAGCATGAAAAGCCCGCTTCTTTTGTTATGGCATTTATTACAAATGCTATAGGTAGAATATATTTGATAAATGGTAAAAGAATGAGAGTTATTATTTCTTGGTTGAAAAGAGGGATGAAATTAACTCTGATTGCTGCGTGACAGAGTTCTTATTTGAAGGAATGTTACATCAAATCGACTGAACCCTCAAAGCAAAGACCAACGAATTGATATTTTTCATTAGTTTCGTTGGATATCACCAGTCGTACAAAATAAAATAATAAATCTAACCGCATGCTAATTATATTTAGTGCATACTCTGATTACCGTTATATACGCATAGTATGTACATGCGTATGTACATGTGTGCATGCGTAATATTATTTATTCTTTATATTCTTTTTTAATATATTTATATGTGCATATTGCAGCAAAAGATGCAACGGGTTAACGTCATACCATAACCTTTCGGGTATGCGGTGCACGCAACCGATCGCTCGCATGCAACGAATATGAAGGATAGGACAATCGTTTAGAATCGGTTAAAAAAACCTTTTTGTTATTATATAAAGATTATTAGTAATATAAAGTATTTAGTAGCATAATTATTTATAAATACAAGCAAATGATGCATCTAAAAAGCAGGTTTTTCTACATTACAATTAAATCATTGTCACAGATAGTAAAGAATCATTGTTAAAGCGTATAAGCCCATTCAAAACGATTGTAAAATCACATTCATATTGTTTAGTAGCCTCAACATAGTGAGGATCGCTAGGATTATTAGTGATGATAGTTTCGAACTAGTGCAAACTAATCACTTGCTAAATCTAATATGTTATAAATCCTATTATTGGCTAATGTGATTCATTTTGGTGGAGTAACTAACCTGTTATTTTAGAAGCTTTCAATGGTTGGATTATATTATGGGCTGTCCAAAACAAGCAGATTGACATTCTAAAAACAGCCTATATCTCGATGAATTTTTAAAAAGAAAGCTCAAGATTGTTGAATATTAGATTATTAAATAGTTTTAAAAATCATTGAGATATAAGATGTTAAGGTAATAAATTTTTTAGAATGTCAATCTACTTGTTTTCTATTGACGGCAGCCAATATTGTTTCACACTATTCGAAATTAGAAATTAGAATCGGTTATTATAATTCAACTTTAAGTTAGAGTTAAATTGGTTTAATAATAATATTCTAGTTCCTCAATAAACCGACTTTAAAATTAAATTGTCGAAATTCTATTTTATTTTTGTATATCATAAAAAGAGTGCCAGAGGTACGTGATTTTATGGAGGATTTTAATGATGCCAATAAACAGATGAAATTACAGTTTATAATACAAGAAAATCAGACAATTCGCCGGAGGTGTGACGTGATGACTTAGCAAAGGTTTTTTATCTTTAAAACTTTAGGGATTACAAATGTTTATTAAATGAGTTATTTGACTTGAAGATTTTTACTTTATTACAAGAGTAAAAATATAGCTTTACAACTCTAAAAAATACAAGAGGCTTTGGCTATTTGAGTCTTCTCTATTTATAGTCCAAATTCATTAAAATATTCTATTTTGGTTAAAAAAAAAACACAATAATTCTAACATTATATTATAATTAACTTTTACTAAAATGTACCTATGGTGTTTTATGCCTGTGTATATATTATCTCAAAAACTGGCTAATTAATTGGTGTGAAGGCCTTAAATAAAAATATTTTATACTCTAAAAAACTCTTTTCAAACCTTAACCTTAATTCCAAAAATTAATTTTAATATGAAAATTTGCATTAAAAGTTTTGTATATAAAACTTAAGAAAATTT